TTAACCACTAGACAAGCAGAATTATTAATGTAGGTAATGCCCAGTAGAGGGAAGAAAAAAAGGATTGGTTCTGACTTGTGGAACTGGGGCTGGGGAGAGATGGAAACTTCTGACAACTCTGTATTACAAGCCCATCTGCAATGTTGTTTGAGTTTATGGAAGCATGTGCGTCATTTACGTTTTTTAAAATTATTTTTAAATGAATAAAACTGTACATTCTGTATGTCCACAGTCTCCTTATTGAAACTACAAACCTAAATTTTTATTTTCTATTTCTCCTTCCTGTAATCTCAGTAAGCTTTTTCAGGTCAATATTATTGGTGCACATGTGTGCACTTCTGATCCTTACTATCGTATTCAAACGTCCAAATAAAGATTTATTTTAAAAAGCAGAAGAATCCACTATATAGTGGGCAGCTATAAAATTGCTCCTTCCATTTTGCTCGTGTCTACTAATTTTCTTCCTATCAGTCCGCCCACATCCATCAGTTCATAGAAATAACTTCTGAGGACTGAGGGATTTAAAAGCCTGCGAATCGCGTTTCAGTATTACCTGGAACTACTGGAAGCCAGAATCTTTTCTTAATTTGCCGTTCTCCCCATTACACTCTGCTTATCCATCCTCAAGATTTCAGACCCTGTTCAGTTCTCAAAAAGTAAACACCATGGAAATACGATTCAGGACTTCAGAAGCCATACTGGTGGGAGGAGGGGCTAACAGAAAGATAAATGTTGGCAAGCTTGATACCACATTCACTATGTCCCAATTAACTGTCCCTTTTATAAAGATCTTAAGATTTTCATGCAAAATGGGAGTTCCTATGTATTAAGACATTCTATACAAAGTTCTCCAACTGACAATTATTTTTTTCTCATTTTATAATCAAAGAGACTAAGCTGAGCTGTCCAAAGCACAAAGTAAAACACAGATGCTATGTCTCCAGCAAACACAGACAATCTTACAAGGCTGTAAAATTATCATTCCACTAAGGAAAGCACCCAGGGGAGGTGAGTTACTGTTGTTTTTTCTTTCCCAATGGAAGAATGGAATTACACTCCCAAAGTCAGCTGAGATAGAAAGAGATACATAAAATCAAAAGATAGGGAAGCCGGAGAGAGGGAAAGATCACTTTCTGTGGCACTGAGGCACTCCCTTCAGTGTCATCTCATCTAATCCCTACAACAATTCAGTGAAGCTTTCGTCATTATCCAGAGTCAACTTTGGCAAAATGTTTTACCATCACCCCTGCTTTTTACAGATGAGCTGGCTGGAGTGCAGAAATGGTCAGTGATGTCTCCAAACTCACAGAGCTAAGTTTCTGAGCCAGGTGAACCTCTGATTCAAAGTGCAGAGATTTTTTCTTCTTCCGGAGGACAGACACTGCTGGCTTTATTCATAGAGCTGTTCTCTAGTCCTTGCTCCAGTAGTTTACAGTCTGAGGTTACAGTTTTGTGTTCAAACACATTGTTCGAGAGAAAGGAATAATAGCCACCAGGTGACTGCCTCTAATAGAAAAGAGGCGGCAAAGCAGGAACTCTTGAGTTTCCTTGGGGCTTCCCAAGAGAAAACTGAGGTACCAACTACCAAGCAAGTTATTCAGTCCATTTTCTGAGCACTTACCCGTGACAAGTCTGGTAATAGTGAAAATGAGACAGTCCTTAACCAAGAACAGAAAACTGCTGGGCTTCACTGCATACGCACCACAGTTCTTTTTCTTGCCTAACAAGTTATCAGGCTTATGGGAGGGCACTGACTCACAGAACTGGGATCCACAGCACAGCTACTGATGTTTATTTTTTTCCTTATCTGAACCTCCACACACACAGTGGCCTCACAAGATCATCTTTTGGAGCAACATCAATTTGGGGAATACTTGTTAGGAAGTCAACTTTGGCAAAATGTTTAAGACCTCAATTCAAGTGGAAATAAGATTGTCAAAGCTAAAATTTCTTCAGCAAGAAGAGATTTTTAAAATATTTCATTTAGCCAAATGGTTTCTTGAATCTGAGCTACAGAGAAATTTTTACATTAAAGAACATCATTATTATCACAACAACTTATTTAGCACTTGCTGTGTACTAGGTGCTGCACTGAGACATTGCAGTTTCCAGTATCGTGAACCAACCTGGGAGAAATATCAGTGGTGAGGGTTCAGTGTTTGTATATGGAGGATGGTGCAAACTGAATTATTCCCGTAAAGCTGCTACATAATTCCGGAGAAAGCACACAGTCACCTTCTCATTAGAAGGAGGGTAGGATTAGGTGTTATAGCGAGAAACCGAGATGCTGCTGGATCCCAGGCCAGAGGACCTAAAGAAATACTCTGTCCATTAGGAGCCCACCCTGTGGAGGAACTTGAGCCTACTCCAGATGGGGACTGGGTACGAACATCAGTGCCATTTTTCTTCAGATGAATATTGTGGACCCAGAAGGAAGCACCTTGTAAGCAGGAAAAATAAATTTGTGCTGAAATAATGGATGTAAAATACTTCTCCCTGTCCACTATTGTCAAAACAAATCAGAGAGGAACAGGGGGAGGAAGGGAATGTTGAACATCTATTATGTGACAGGCACAGTATTAAAAACAAAATGAAATGGGACATTTTAAAATGTTAGGCTGACATGATGTCTTTTGGTTCATTGCACCCCTTTCCATTTTATCTGAATTCCTTTGGCTTGTACGTGTTTTTCCTAATATCAGTACAAATTCAAGCTGGTATCTTCTGCAGCATGATTCAAACTAAAGATACAATAATCTACTGATAAGAATAATAAGTGAAATAAATTGTTTCATTGTAATATTATCTCTTAACTGCTTGTATAAGTAATTTACAAGTTTATCTGTAATTTATCAGACTCACCTGGTAGCTTTAATAGAGATGTAGTCAGCATTCTCATGGGGGAAAAATACCCTCTTCCTTATTGCTCTGGATGTCTCAAAGGCATGCACATTCTATACTGGCATCAAATCTGGCTATCTTAGCTCATAAAAGAGCTGGATTCTTACCTCCTAATGTACTTCTAAAGTACCAAAAGTAGATATGGGGAGAAAAGCAATGTATCCTTTATGTGTATTTGTCTCCAAAATAAAACAGTAAAAACTTGAGACAGATTTAGTATTTTGTCTCAAAAAATCACTAGCTAGTACCTGTGGTCACTTCATCTGAATCTACTTGAGGAAACAGGGGTCTAC